CAATTCATCTAGAAACAACCCAAAGTATTGCTATTTGGGGGAAAGTATAGGATACACTGCTCCCAAGCCCTGCTCCTCATTGATGAGTGGGTGCTCAATGCCAACTAGGGTCCGTCCTATGCCTCACACACTGTACAAACCCAATTGAAAACGGCAAGCCATACTCCAAAACAATTCAAACACTGGTAACTTTATTCATCAGGAGAACATGAACAGAGAGGGTCTCCACCTAGGACCTTCTCTGGCCTCGAAAACAGCAAGCCACACTCCAAAACAATTCAAACACTGGTAACTTTATTCATCAGGAGAACATGAACAGAGAGGGTCTCCACCTAGGACCTTATCTGGCCTCATTAAAGAGGAGGTGGTCCCAGGTGTATGTTCTCTGTTCATGTTGTCTGAATGAAGTTAATGGCGTTTGACGCGCCTTCAAAGTGCAGCCAGTCTTTTCTTTTGGATGAGCTTCAATCCCTGGTAGACCAACGCTTTAACACCACAGAAGGCAAAATCTCAAGGAGATTACTTCAACAGGGTCCCCGAAAACGGTCAACCAACCAAAATGGAGTAGTCAGTTTTGGGTGGACTGGAGATACTCATACTGAGGTCCAAAAAGATCATTCTATACAGATCCTTATGTGTGTGCGCATGCAGACACCAAATCAGAGCGTAGAGGTCACGTGACTAGACTAGCTAGCTAGGTTCCTTTGCTGGTTCCTTGTTCCACTAGGAGAGGGTAGGAGCGCGCAAAAGGCAAATTTTCCTTCGCAAGCGACCGACTGATCATCAGGCATCACTTTCCGGCATATCACTCAAACTTCTAACGCCCGTCTGGCGGGTGCGCACCTCTATTCCCGCGTATGGGTACCTTAGCACTTAAGAATACTGAAGATTATTCTGAAATAGAACTCGGTTTAAAAATTACCACATCTATAGAAAAAAAAAAAAACACTTGAGGATGAAAGGCACTGCCGCAAAACTACGAGAACCTCCAAAACATATATTTTTTTTTCCCTTTTATAAATAATTCACTTTTCTATACCTGCACTCAATACAGGACGCATGGAAGCGAAACCGTTAACGTTTTGCAGTAAGCAAAATGAATATAATCAGAAGTTTATGTATTATATTTATAGATAGATCTATATTTGTGTAACACTGACCAGAGGAAACAAAAAGGGGAAAAAAAACAAAACACAATTATATTTACAAAAGTTACTATCGATTTTTTATGTATATTAAAAAACAGATCACTATATGGTAACTAAAAGGATAAACTTTTTTTTTTTATATGGTTACCAGCCATAGCAAATTTATGGTGAAATAAAAAAATAAGCATTAGGATCAGATTGGAATAAAAGGAGGAGGGATGAATTAGAGTCATCCAGACCAGTGACGTACGGTGTCACTTGTTCCGGGTGAAGCATTCCCCAGCACGTCCCGCTCCCCTCAGCCGAAGCCCGCCTCCTGCCTGACGAAGCCCCACCTCCGCCAGACGAAGCCCCGCCCCAAGCTAGTGTAAAGGAGGAAGGGAGGAGCCTCCCTTTCCCTCACTTGCTCGTCACTGCTGAGTCATCGAGATCAATGGCCTCAGTGTTTTTTTGTAAATCTATTTTTGATTGGACAGCTTGGACCAATGGCGCTTTGCCATTGGTCCAAGCCATCCACAGAGCTCACGCCTCTAACCAAGAGTAGAGGCTGTGACAGCTCTGGCTTCAATAGTTAGGTTACACAAGCAGTGGGGAAGCAACCTAACTACCTGGATGCAGAGCCACCTGTAATTAACAGGTAGCGCTCCGTCCATGACAGGTTACACAGCGGGGAGGATTTCCCTGATCTGTAACCTGATAGAAGCCGATCTGAATGGAGAAAAAGCTGTCAGCTTTTTCCTCCATAATTCTAGGTGAGGCTCTGCCCCACCTGCCTACCCTGACCGCACATCCCTGATCCAGACGTACAAGTCCCCTTCGCGGGGGGGACTTTGGAGGAGAATTACAATTTTTCCCATGATGCTTTGCTAAAAAAACTAACAAAAAAAAACAAACAATGATCCATCGTTTACATTTTTTTGGCACGGATTCAAACTACGATGGTAAAAAAAAAAAGTTACGTCTACATTTTTCTTTGTATACCGCTTATTCCCAAGTCTCTCCAAAGAATTGGCAATAATTAAGAGCTACTATCTATTGATTATCATCTGGGACGCGTGCTCGTAAGATTGCACTGCAGTGAAAATCACTGGAATCAGAATTTAGGAGACTCATCTGTAGAAAGTTTCTGCTATTGCTATCGCGCTACTAAAATTACCTGCGACTGCCCGTGATTAATCGCCACATGTGCAGTTGCATGTAGTAACATTCGATCTCGTCGTTAGGACATGCCACAATCCATTGTTTGCCATGTGTAGCAATCTATAGCAATTAATCATGGGGCGATCATGCGTGATGATCACTCCAGCAAAAACCACCCATGTGGGTCCAGACCGTAAGGGACCAGAAAGAGTCTCATTGACTTCCAGGTTTTAAAGAGGAACAGAAGCAGAATAAAACTTAACCCTTGCAGATACTTTGATCTAGGGTCTAAAATAACCAGGTCCGGATTTACTCTCTCTGCTGCCCCAAGGCCAGGTTCCCCAATACAATGAAATGACACAAGGGGTCTGTGGCTGACATCACCTGAAAGACAGCAGGACCACAAGCTAAAACAAACAAACCCTCAGTGTGTTTTTACATGTTCTCATGCTGATAATCCACCTTAATGCCAATTTATACTTTCCAATGCTACACATTTAAAAGGGATAATGAAGTGGAATTGAGGCCAGTCTACTCAAATATTTATTTATATACAAGTAGCAAAATAAGCCCTCACTGATCTACGTAACTGCAGGCACTGTGGAGCAATTCAACCTTAAAGTTCACCATCTCAGCACTCTCCTTCAAGTTGGGCATCAGCACTCGGTGCTCTCCCCTCTTCCATTTCACCTGCTTTGTGTTTACATTAGGGATTAAAAAGCTGGCAGGTTGATAAGTCACTGCTTTGGGTGGGGAGCTACAGAGAGCTGGGGAGAGATGTTGATTATGAATTATTTCACAGTGCCTGCAGCTACAGAGGTCAGTGGCAGCTTATATTAAAATGTTTATTTGGTGCTTGATAAGAATATGCAAATATCTGACTGTCTATTGCCTGGCCATAGTTCTGCTTCAAGCTCCACCCCCAAAAAGGGACAATGCAACTAAGGTTGGCACTGTTGTGATGAAAGGGGGGAGGGAGGGGGTTAGAAACCAATTGTTGAGCTAGTAGTGGAAGACAGGAAAGCAAGTGCTCTTTTTTTCTACTGGTTACAATGGGCTACAGTAAAGATTATTAAAAAATAAAACATGAAGGTATCTGCTATGGCAAAGCTTTCTCTACTTCTATGGAGATCCAGAAACATTGAGCAAATTCTGGCCAAACCCCTTAGGTGCAAACTGCGCAAGCAACTAGACCCCACGACTAATCAACAAAAAAACTTTCCATAAAGCCTTCAAAAAGGGATTCCACATCCGAGGCCACATTCGCACAGCGAGTGATTAATGGCGGCTACACAAACCATGCAGCAATCGTAGTTGCGAGTCGTTTTTAGGCCTCATTCACACAGGGTAGAGTGGGGCCATACAGATCCGTGCCACGTCCATGGCCGTATCGGGCCGTTCCCGGGAAGGACAGTTGCTGCGTGCGATTGTACACTCACCCGAGCGGGTGCCCGTGCTCGGACGCAGACAGGATCCAGCTCACACGCACCTATCCTTCCCGGGAACGACCCGATACGGCCATGATTGACTTCATTTAGCCCGCGCGTGGTCTTTTTTTATGCATGATGGACGCCGGCAGAGAGAGGAGGGAACGTTCGCCCCCTCTCTCCTGACACTGTCGGGCTCTCGATCCATGACCGAGTGCCCGACATTTCATAGGGAGTAACACTAAAATGACTGTCAATCATTTTGTTGTCACCCCTCCAATGGTGGTCCCCGGGTGTGGGGCACACCCCTCTTGTGACGCCACTGTGGCCGTGCGCACCGCACGGATCTGTAAGGCCCCACTCTGCCCGGTGTGAATGAGGCCTAATGGTCAAATCGATCATCGGAATTAAGCAAAGTTTTTTTTTTTTGGTTGTGCGACTAAAACGTGCCAGAGAAGGTTGGACCTTACATTTCACCTCGACAATAAACTACAATTCCTAAGCATTTTTCTTCCATTTTCACCTCCTTCTGACGTTCTCTGACATTCCATAAAAACACCTCGAGCTATTATGACCCTTTTGGCCAGAGACTGAAGCAGTCAACTAGATATTTGGCCAATACCCTCGATCCAGTTCAAAAGAGCAAAACAAAAAAAAATGAGTGATTTTTAGTTCTTGGGTGCGGGTTGGGTCTTTCTACTTTCGGGGGGGGGGAGAGGGATAAAAAAAAGTACTCTTGGCTGTTTTAACAATGCAAACCGGCTGCCAATTCAATAAAACTAACAACAAAACAAAAACTTCTACAACATTTAAGATACAGAAGGCTTACCTGAAGTTAATTATGTACCCTTAATAGTTGTTTTATGTAAACATAATATTTTTACTAAAAGGGAAAAAACTAAAAAAAAAAGTAAAATGGCACAAAAAACCTAAAAAAACTCTACTAAAACATAACAAAACAAAAAAAGCCTTAAAGATGGTTCTCCAGGTAAAAAAAAAAAAAAATTAAACTCCACTTACTGAATGAGGGGGCTGTACAAAGATTTCCCACCCTTGCTCAATGACTTGCATCAAAGAGCTGTGGGCTGTGTAAAATCTGCCCCTTACCTGAAATCAGTTAATGAAGGAAAGGGCTGGTTGCTAGAGAAGGAGCGGTTACAGATACTGAACAGTTATCCGTGGCAGCATTTCCTCTAACCAATGGACCTTCTCAGCTTGGCTGATTACAGATAAGGGCCCAGGGCATAACCGCAGCCCTGTGGAATTTTTCTTACGTTGAGTGCTGTACACCGCAGAATAACCCTCCTCCCGAAGTTGCAAGAGTTTAACATCCTTACTGGAGAACCCCTTCCACCTCCCCATAGGCCATCGTTTGGTCACATGTCTCATCCCCGCTTAACGGGCCAGACATGCCGGTGCCCGCTGGCAGTCCCACTTCCAGTCGTGCATTTCCCATTCCGAACATAAAGCTTTTCATTCAGGAAACCGATCGAAGGACAAAATAAAAAAGTTCACTTTTCGTTCCATTATAATAACAATATACATTTTTTTGCAAGCACAGCTTAGGCGATTTTCCTTTTTTCTTCTCTTCTTGGTACAATAATCCAAAAAAATCTAAACCAAAAAAGGCAAAACTGTGTTTAGCACATCTGGGGGAGGACAGGAAGAGTCAGCAATTCCAGACACCGGACCAGCAGTTCTGTGTGCTACGTCCAGCGCTGCCACAAAATACTGTTCTGCTCCTAGATTGTAGAGGTCTTGTCTACGCCATCTGTAGAGGAGAAGGGAAATACGGGCTGTGAGCATTGCACGCAGACTACAGAATGAATGGAATTATTCTTAACTTCAGATATAAAAACATGAAAACAATTATTGCAGTTATTTATTCATTAATATAGAATATCATTTATATATTTGAAGCGGTTTGTGTAAAGCAGATGGTGTACCTGAATTTGACCGGTTATCATTGTCTTGTAGTCCCTGCACTGCAGAGCTCAGACTATCAGAAGGAGAAGCAGCACAAAGGAGCCAGTCAGTTGTGCTGCAGAGCTCATGCACTAACAAGGAGCATGCCGACAGGAGGAGAACGCAGAGCGACAGAAATTAGCTTAGTGCGCTGCTTCAACTTTACTGTTAAGTGTTAACTGTAGCAAAGAAATTACAGGGAGAGGAAAGGAAAGAGGGTAAAAAGGAAAAATTAAAGAGGGGAAAGGAAAGACAGGAAAGAGGGGAAAGGAAAGAAAGCGAAAGGAGAAAAAGGGAAAAGGAAAGAAATGAAAGAGGGGAAAAAGGAAAAATGAAAGAGGGGAAAAAGGAAAAATGAAAGAGGGGGAAAAGGAAAGAAAGGAAAGAGGGGGAAAAGGAAAGAAAGGAAAGAGGGGGAAAAGGAAAGAAAGGAAAGAGGGGAAAGGAAAGAAAGAGAAAGGAAAGAAAGAGAAAGGAGAAAGAGAAAGGAGAAAGAGAAAGGAAGAAAGAAAGGAAAGAGGGGGAAAAGGAAAGAAAGGAAAGAGGGGAAAGGAAAGAAAGAGAAAGGAAAGAAAGAGAAAGGAGAAAGAGAAAGGAGAAAGAGAAAGGAGAAAGAAAGGAGAAGGAGAAAGAGAAAGGAGAAAGAGAAAGGAGAAAGAGAAAGGAGAAAGGAGAAAGGAGAAAGGAGAAAGGAGAAAAGGGAAAGGAGAAAGAGAAAGGAGAAAGGGAAAGGAGAAAGGAGAAAGGGAAAGGAGAAAGGGAAAGGAGAAAGAGAAAGGAGAAAGAGAAAGGAGAAAGAGAAAGGAGAAAGAGAATACAAGAGAGAAAGAAGAGAGTGAGGAGAGAGGTAGGAGAGCGAGAGAGAGATAGAAAGAAAAAAAGATACAGAGAGAAAGAAGAGTGAGAGAAACAGAGAGAAAGAAGAGTGAGAGAAAAAGAAAAATACAGGGCTAATTGAACTAAGTGTTAAATGCTACATGAAGTGTTGAGGTAAAAGAACTCCTGAGATATTGAACTTATGTATACAATTCAGTAAAATCTAGGAGTTATTTACTGAACATTTTTTGGTAATGCTGTGTGAACAAGGCACAGAGTCCCATTCCTGCCTTGAGGATTGCACATTCTTTTCTGTATACTCCTTTGGATGAACTTATATTCCAGAAATGTGTCCTGGAATGCTTCCATTGCCTCCAATTGGTGGCTATGAACATTCACATTCATTAATTTGTTTTTAATTAAATCGACCATTCTCTTATCACATGCAACATTTCACGGAGGCCATGTGCCTATATTTGGCATGTGAGGTTTCGTGACCTGAGCCCACAGCGAGAGTGACAAGAGAGAGAAAGAGAAAAGAGAAGAAAGGAATTGCACTAACCCCCATCCCATATAGGACTTTCTATCCATCTGATTCAAATCTTTTCCCCTTCTGTTTCTTCTCCCTTACTTTCAGATTTTGCTTAGAGTAACAGCGGGCAGTGATCTCAATGTGGATACAATGTCAGCCAGAAAACAGACATTTTGTCCGTGAATGAAGTTGAGCAGACATTCCTGAGGAAGCTCGTCTCCTCCCGGGTATTTTTAGCTGTGCTATATTTGAAATGCTTACCACCCAAGGCATGCTCAGTCATACTCAGACACAACGATTCCAGCCGGTTATTGATATCTGGCTCTGTTGCTGGTACCTGGAAATCTGAAAAAGAGAAAAAAATAAACTAAGGTTCAACTTTAGTAACAAACAAAGCTGTAAAGTCAAACGGCAGTGGAAGGTAAACTCTAGACCTGGGACTGAACCAGTGATGAAGGTTTTTGTGTATTTTCAAACCATTCCATTAAAGGAGAACTATGAGGTGAGTGCTTTTCACTCACCTCATAGTTCTAGCCGACCTGTGACAATGAGACTGTCACAGGTCGGCTCAGTAGATCGGGAGGTGAGCGAACACATACTGGGTTCGCTCACCTCTCGATCCTGTCACGGCTCTCTGCCGTGACAGGGGGAGGGGCTGGATTCCCCTCTCCGATCTGCCAGCGCTGACTGGCGGAACGGACAAGGGAGGGGGCGGGAACAGCTGGCTCTGCCTCTAGATAGGCAGAGCCAGCTGTCACTCACGCAGCTGGGCGGATCCCGTCATCTAAGTCGGGATCCGCTCCGGCTGCGGCGTCTCAGTATACCGCGAGCTGTAGCTCGCGGTATACTGAGCTTTGGGTAACGGGAGGACGCTAGTTTGTGTCCTCCCATTACCCTAAGGAGAACTATGGGGAAAAACACTGACCCCATAGTTCTCCTTTAAAGGAATCACTCTAGTTCTGTGTTCCTTTGGTCCATTTCCCCGCTACCAGCGCCATCACCATACTGTGCTCTCCTTCAATTTCTGTTGGGTTGTCTACTGGACAGACCTGATAGGAAAACCCTATGGCCAACTATAGGAGTGAGCATTGCAGGCTGACCACGCTGCGGCTAATAGCAAGAATTGGGTTGGCGTTGTCAGCCTGTAACAGGAAGTGCTGCTACAAGAAGGATCTTGAAAAATGAAACTTTGCAAAACATTTACAAACAACACTATACAAAAGTATCTGTGAAGGTTCCCATTCATCCAGGAGGTCATGGTATAGCTGTCAAAAATAACTCAAGGCAACTGGACTTACTGTATTTTTCTTGAAGACGTTTCAATTCAGAATTGAGAAAGCTGGTTGGATGACCAGTGAAATGTCTTCAAGAAAAATACAGCAAGTCCAGTTGCCTTGACTTATTTTTTTACAGATACTATACAAAGTAAAACCTGGTTGTAGATAAACTAAAGATTTTGGGTTTCTCATCATGACAGGAAGTGAAGGGAAATTTCCCCAATGGGACACATGACAAAAAAACCCAATGGAGGTGATGGTGGGGGTGTTTGGGGAGTTGGGTTAGCCAATCCCTATGCTACCTGGAAGTCATGCTAACCCAACAGCTTCAATACTTCCAGACCCAGAATACATATGCAGGTCAGGAGTTCTCACTTCACTTGTTGCATGCTCATTTCATGCCAGTGGCTCAATGTCTAATGTACTAATGCCAGGGAAAGCCAGGAAATGAGCATATTCAAAAACAAGTGATGGCAGCCGATGCGTGTATATCAGGCCAACTCTAGCCAAACAGCTACGTAGACATATACAGGATCCGTCCTGCCATGAAGACTTGTAAAAGTAAAGCACACAGCAGCTCTATGACTGCATAGGGTAAGGATGGACGGATGGAGATGACACGGCTTTGACTACCATCTACCCTTCAGCAGGACATTCCCATACTGGCTGCACCCACCACATAATATCTCCATCCAATCAGCCCATAATGTATTCCCCCCCTTCCTGCTCCTCAGCTCACTGCGAGCCTGATGTCTTCCTTTTAGCTGGAAGGTGCAGCATTCGACTGGTTAGACCCCACAGGTTATGAACAGAGCTCTTACCTGGCTGTTGAAACATAAGCATGGTCTGCGGAGAGGTGTGGACGGGCAGTGATCGGGTTCTCTGTACGGAACTGTGGGATCGGCTCGGCATGCTGTTACTTCCTCCGGGGTTCGCAAACCACAGGTTCTGATATGAAAGCCACAACGGAAGTCGTCATTGATCCAGGCTCAAAATACCAATTTCGATAACCAATTATAACCATTAAAAATAGGTGACACGTCACTAAAACTGATAAACATATTCCCATCACCCACCAAACCACAAGCAAAATCGGGTGCTGCAAGATCAATGCAATATGTCTCCAGCACGCAGGAATGCAACTTTTTGTTGCATGTGCAGCTCAGTGTGGAATTGTACGTCAATAAGGGGACCCCGTCCCCAGTTGCAGCTTGCGGTCTGTCTGAAGACCTAATCCAAAAACATCTAAAAAGGTAATATATACAGTTTTAATATTTTTAGGTGCGCTGTGTGAATGGGGACACATAATAAACAAAAAGTGGCGTTTGTCAAATTTGACTGCAAAAATGAAAAATAATAGTCCATGAGGCATTTTCTCGGTATAAGGGATCCGTCTGCACACACGTCAGCCGTGGTAAAAAGGCAAAACTGCACCGGACCAGTAGACCACAGCAAGCTGA